GGGCCAGACTAGACTGTGAAGGTTGGAGTTGGGGTCCAGAGGTCAGAGGGCATGGGCAGGTTCAGACTTCCCTCCAAGACAGACTGCGGGGAGCACCTGTGCTCTTTGGAAATCCTGAGAGAAGAGAGAACAGCATGTCTCACCATGTGCTGCCAGAGGCACCTGGGCCTAAAGATGCTTCGCATCCTCATCTGTAGAAAGGTGATAACAGGATCTTGTCACCTGCCCTACCCATTGAGCATACATGTCAGGGAAAGAAATTGAAAAACCATATGTGAAAAGTCTTTGAATATGTAAAATGCACCATGCAGCTGGAATCACATTATCATCTTACACCTGCTTCTCCGGGTGTCTTTGATTATGTTGGTGTTACTTCGGTCAGAGCCAGCACCCTAAGCTGAGTGGACCATAGAGCTGTGGCTTTGTAGCCCAAATTGATGTCGAGTTGTATCCCTGTGGGCAGTGTGGGGAGAGACTTGTCCCTTTTCCACCCATTTCCTCTGTCATTTTTAACTGTGACTTTGGGCTGGATCCATTGCCTTTCTGCCATGCTGTAGGTGTAAGATGTGAATAGCCATTCTTTACCAGCCTGAAGGCTACATCCTGGGCATTTTTTTTTTTTTTTCTTTTGAGACAGAGTCTTGCTCTGTTGCCAGGCACCAGGCTGGAGTGCAGTGGCACAATCTCAGCCCGCTGCAATCTCCGCCTCCTGGGTTCAAGCAATTCTCCTGCCTCAGCCTCCCGAGTAGCTGGGACTGCAGGCGCACACCACCATGCCCACCTAATTTTTGTGTTTTTTAGTAGAGACAGGGTTTCACCATGTTGGCCCATCCTGGGCCTTTTGAGGTCTCCTTTAGCTCTGAGCACTATAGTTCTGGATTCTGTTTTTCTAATGCCTCAGGCCTGTGGCAGTGTACAGGGTGGACAGTCACTTACAATTTAGACTGATCTGGTAGGAAAACATGGCCTCCAATCAGTAGGTTCCACACTTACCTCAAATTCACACCAGCTGTCTGTTCTGCATTAAGTTTTATTTTACAGCATTCACTAAACTGAAAAACAAGCCAGCCCCCAAATCGCTATTGTTTCAAATGGTTCCCCATAATCCCCAAAGCTGCTGACGGCTCCGGATTCCATTAGCCTCGAATTGTGTACAGATTTCTCTCATTGGTGCAATTATTTTACCATGAGGAAACAGCTCACGTGTTCCATTTGCCCTTCTGCTGGTACAGAGTGATCTGTGGAGAGAAGCCCCATTGAATACAAAAGGTTCCTGGCCAAGGATCACCTCTTCCCCTCCCCCACCGGCTTTTGTTGGCCCTGCGGTAAGCCTAACTGGGTAAATCATTGAGTAAAACCTGTCTTCTGGGTTCTCTCTGATGTCTTTTTGACACTAGTTTAGTTGTATACTGTGTCCTTACAAGGTGAAAGGCACTAGCAATTGGTAAAATGCTAAACAGTGGAAGCGGAGGCAGTGTGGCATTGGCCAAAGAGCCCTGCATTACACTCAGACCAGTGTCTGGTCCCAGACCCGCCAGCATTACACTCAGTCCAGTGTCTATGGCCCAGACCTGCCACTTGCCTCTTGCGAGACTCTACCGAAGTAGTCTCACCTCTCTGACTTTCAATTCCTGCCCTGAAAATGAGAAGTTTAGACTCATGCCCCCTGGCACTTCATAAGTAGGCGTTGACTGATGGCTGTCCCTTCCACTCTCTTGCATAATCTGCATGCTGTGGGAAGGGTAAAGAGGGTAAAGGTGTGGTTGACCTGAGGAGTGAAACTGAGCTAAGAGCTTCAGCCCTCTCCCCAATCCAGGCCCAGCTGTACTTCCCTGGCCCTCACTTTTAGTAGCAAACAATCTGCCTTTCTCAAGCTCTTGGGCACTGTGCCTTGCCCAATATGATGGGGAGAGGGAGGGAAACGCTGAGCCTTGGTGACAGTCTGCAAACTGAGTTTCCTCCAAACCTTCAGCTGTTGTGGACTCTGCCAGCATAAGCTCATGCCTACAGGCGTGCATACACCCCTCCAGGGTGAGGAGCTTAGGGACCAGAGGATTTATACACTTGGGTTCTTGATAGCATCTAAAGGATGGTAAGGGGTGTGAGGGCAAAGGTACCCAGGAGGCCATGCTAACTATCATTGGGGTGCAGAGGGAGGCAGTCTTTATGCTACTTTATGTTCTAGCTGCCTCTGTGTTTCTTGTATTAATGACAGGTTGAAAGAGTTGGCCAACTAAGAGATTGATTTTTCAGTGAATGTTTTATGAGTTGATTTTTCCCTTGGTGGCTCCCTTTGGCTGTTCTTCCCTTCCCTTTAGTGCGACTGTCATCATTTTTCTGCAAGACCTCATTTGATTTCCCCAGACCCCTTTTTCTACAGATATATGCCCTAGCTTTAGGACAGGCGCACAGCACCAACTTCTTATCTGCAGATCAGGTAGCCTGAGTAACTTGAACAAGCCTTTGACTAGCTTTGTAGGCAAGGCCAAGCTGGTTCTTCCCAACCTTGACTTTCTGTGTTGGTAGCTTTGAAACCATCATAGAGGGACTTGGGTGAGTAGGGCCTCTGAACCCAGGACACTGCCAGCTCCCTTCATGAGCCTTCCCAAAACTAACTGGTGCTGAAGTCAACAGAGGTCTGAATTGCTATCATTCTATCCACCTTATCATTCTGTCCCCTTGTCTTCTAAGCTTAGGCATTGGTTCTTAAATCCTGTTTGGGTTACTCCCCACTTTGGAGAGACTGATGAAGAATGAAACCCATATCCAGAAAACTGCACATGTTCATACACAGAGAGGAATGTGCACATCACTCCAGAGGCCCCAGGAACGGCCCCTGAAGCCCATCCTTGGACTCCTTAAGGCCCAGGAACCCCAGATTAAGAGCACTTACTCTAAGGAATCTTCATGTACCCTTTATCTTCCCCCATCCCTGAAGGTGGATAAAACATACACAAAAAAATGCATGTGTTGGGGACGGAGAACCTTTTATGGTATATCCTGCAATCCTGAAAGTTTTCTATTTCAGAAAAATAGCCATCTCTTTAGTTTAACAACAGGGGCCAGAGAGAGCCCTGTATGTGGAGTATATGCTCACAATCAGCATATTTCAATAAAAACATTTAGCATGTGGCCTTAAAAGCATCACATGTGTCAGAAGACTGATACTGAATCCTTGTCTCCAATGTCTTTGACTTTAAGAGTATTTTCCCTTGGCCGGGCGCGGTGGCTCAAGCCTGTAATCCCAGCACTTTGGGAGGCCGAGGTGGGTGGATCACGAGGTCAAGAGATCGAAACCATCCTGGTCAACATGGTGAAACCCCGTCTCTACTAAAATTACAAAAAATTAGCTGGGCATGGTGGCGTGTGCCTGTAATCCCAGCTACTCAGGAGGCTGAGGCAGGAGAATTGCCTGAACCCAGGAGGCGGAGGTTGCGGTGAGCCGAGATCGCGCCATTGCACTCCAGCCTGGGTAACAAGAGCTAAGCTCTTGTTAAAAAAAAAAAAAAAAAAAAAAAAAAAGAGTATTTTCCCTTTTCTAATAACAGCTTAATTCACATACATATCTTTTGGATATTAGCCTTTGTGCCGCCATGTTGAATTTCTTTTAAGGCTTTAAAAGTCTTAATGAGCAGTACTATCATATAGAGATTACTTGTTGGTAAAAATACAATTTGAGAATCAGACAGATGTGGATTTCCTTTCTTGGCTGTGCCACTTATGAATGCTGTTGTCCTGGGCAAGTTTCTTCTCCTCTCTGGTTTCTGTTTTCTCGTCTACAAAAATAGACGGCAAGCTTCAAGGTTACTGGGATCTCAAGTTGTGTTAGTCTGCTTAGGCTGCCATGACAGAGTACCACAGACTGGGTGGCTTAATCAACAGAAATGTGTCCTCTCACTGTTCTAGAGGCTACAAGTCTGAGATCAAAACCTTGCCAGGGTTGGCTTCTTTTCTTCTGAGGCCCCTCTCTGTGGCTTATAAACAGCCGTCTTCTCCCTGTGTCTTCACATGCTCTTCCCTCTGTACTGCCTGGGTCTAAATTCCTTCTTCCTATAAGGATACCAGTTATATTGGATTAGGGCCCATACTAATTACCTCATTTAACTTAATTACCTCTTTAATGACCCTGTCTCCAAATACAGTCACCTTCTGGGGTTAAGACTTCAACATAAGAATTGTGTGGGGGACAGAATTCAGCCACAACACAAATGTATAGTACCTGACTCATGGCAGGCTTAGTAAGCCTACTTGTTACCTACCTCACCACCATTTAAACTGCACAAACTTTTAATGGGATGCTGCGTGTCTCTGTAGACTGTCAGACACACTATTTAAACAGACAACCCAGCTTTGTGGCAGGCTCACCCTGTCCTTCCTTTGTTATCAGGGATGAAGCTGTTTCTTCCCTTTGCCCCAGATTCTGGATGTCATAAATCTTTAAAATGAGTCATCCTCGTGTCTCCTCTCTCCCTCCTGCCCCCACAATCTTCAGCACTGTGCAGGGTGCTTTCATCTATATGTGGAAATGTGCTCACCTGCTGATTCTAAACTCAGTCATTGCCTTACTCTTCAAAATTACTGGTCCCCACGGGCCTCTCTTCCAGCCATTTTTTCCTGATTCTCCATCTCTGGCAGCAGCTGCTATGCCTTGCTTCAGAAGCTGCCCTTGTCATATCTGAGCAAGTATCCCCCAAGGCTTCACGTGACTCTCACATAGCCGTGTCCTTCTCCTCCTCCTCCTCCTCCTCTGCTACGTGCAACCCTTGGTGAAGGACCTGCAGTGGGGAGCTTGTCCTGCATCAGCACTTCAGAGGGGCAGCGTTCAGTCATCCCAATGGCATCCCAGCAACAACCTGTCCCCAGGTACCGTGGCCAGTTCAGCTCACTCTTTCAGCTCTTCCCAGTTCCCATTCTGAGTGTCCCCAGAGAAGCAGCCAGAGGAGCTTGTGTCCCTGGGCAGCCTCCTGAATGCTCTTTTTGCACTTGTTTTTCTCTTCCAGCTGCAGAGCCCTTGCCCCGTGAGCAAAGCCTGGGTGCCCAAGCAGCCACCACGGCAGCAGAGTACAACCTGCAGAGAAGCTGATCACCGGACAGAGATAGAGCGAGCATGTGTGCGTGTGTGTGCGCGTGTGCAGAGGAGGGAGTGGTGTGCCTGTTTGCGTGTGCATGCATCTGTTTACACTCGTGATTCTGAATGTTGCCTGGGCTGGAGGAGTACCTGTAGCACACCAGTTGTTTCCCGGCCTCTAGACACAAGGCTAGAGGTTATGGTAGTGACTTTCAGCCAAGACCTGTTCCTGCAAGCCAGCTGCGTTGTCTGAACAGATCGTAGTGGTGGACCCTAGCTAGGATTCTGGCATCTCCCTCCCTAGACCTCCTTCCTCCCTCCTCACGTCAGACTGTGGAGCAGGAGGGCAGCAGTTCTGGCTGTTGTCCAAAGCATGGGATTCTGGAGGCAGCCGGAGCCCTGCCGAGTTCCTGCTTTCTGACATGGAGGCTGGGCAGGCTGGAGTGGATGGATGCTGTCCAGACATAGCCACCTGGCCTCTCTTTCTTATTTTAAAATTCTCTGCTACTGGGCTCAGTCCCGGGGCCTTCCTTGGGCATCTGGGACTGGGCATGAGGCCGTAGACAGATCTAAAAAGTTTCACCACCCTGCAGAAGTACACAGCGACACCTGACTGGGTGTGGGGTATGCCTGGTACTGTAATAGGAGCCTAAGACAGCACATCTACCTTTTCAGGATATAGAACCTAAAGTTAGAAAGAGAATCCCAGCTGTCATTGTTCCTTCCCCAAAAGCTGAGAGCCAGCCTCAGAGCTTACCCGGGAGCTGTGGAGGGGCCAGGGTCAGACTCAGTCACTCTACCAGGAGGAGACCAGGTTCCAGTGGCATAAGGCCCCCTGGCTTCTCTGGCCACACTCCAAAGCAACACAGTACTGCCAGTGAGGACAGCTGACACCAGGCCAGGGAAACCATTCTAGTCTTTGTTCTGCTGGCTTCCAGGGCCTGCCCTGGACTTGTTAGCATCCAGAATGCCATGTCAGCGATCCCAGCAACTGAGCGCCAAGGACTCAGGCAGAGGGACTCAGGGATGGGGACTGCTGGGGCAGTTGGCAGAAGACCAAGTAGAAATCACACCCAGCACACCATCCCTTCCAGGAGTAGTAGGTGGGAGGTTTGACCCAGAGAAGCCAAGCCTTGCATTCCAGGAGTGGCCTGTACTTCCCACCTCTTCCTTCCCACTGCCAAAGGCCTGTGTTAAGAAAGATGTAATGGAAAGGACAACTGTGGTCACCTAGAGCAAGTCTTCCTTCTTCTACCCTGTGGCCTGCACTTGAGCCACAAAGACTGTGTGTGTGTGTGTGTGTGTGTGTGTGTGTGTGTGTGTGTGTGTGTATGAGGGGGTACGTGTGTGCGTGTAGCTATGAGGCTGATTCCTGTCTGGATTTTTGTGTGTGTGTGTGTGTGTGTGTGTGTATGAGGGGGTACGTGTGTGCGTGTAGCTATGAGGCTGATTCCTGTCTGGATTTTTGTCCTCACATGTATCATTAAGCTGGCCTTTGGGCCTTTCCTTTCTACCTCCCCTGTGACCTTTCCTAGCCTCAGATCTGTTAATTCCTTTGGCCCCAGCCCTGTCCCTCACTGTCCTCTGTCCTTGGACCAGAACCCTGGGGCCAGACCCATCTCCTATAGCTGTCCACCATATTGACAGGCTTCTTCCTGAGATATCCTCAGGTTTTCTCAGCCAGAGAGCTGCCTTTAGAGTCCAACTGTTGTATGTATGTCACCCTCACTAGAAATGTCCCGTCATCGTGGGAGTGGAGCAGGGCACAGGTGATGGTGTGCATTCAGAGCGTGAGGTTGGGGGCTTCCCTGTTCCCTCAGCTCCAGCCAAGAGGAAAGAGAATCAGGGGCCATTGCCAGAAAGAGTCGAATGAACCTGGAAGGGCAAATCTGAGACAGTGGGAAGACCAAATCTGAGGGCAGATTCAGTATTCACTAGTAGCGCCTTCAGGTAGCAGGATGATTCCTCTTCCTGTTTGATGCTGGCTCTCTTCACTAAGGTACAGGTTGGCAGGACCACTTACCCCTACTTCACCATCCCTGGCATGCCAGCCCATTCCCAGATCAACCTGCCAGTGGAGTCAGGCAGTGCACTTCTGGAGCCAGGAGGGGCAGGGTGGGAGAGGCTGTGTCCAGTGGCCTAGAGCTCCACGGTGGCTTCATGCCTCCCTTCTCCCGGCTCAGGTGGTCCTGAGGGCTCCCTCGAAACAATGCCCCAAATCCTGACCCAAGAGCCAGCATGGGGAAGAGATGGTTGCAGGGAAAATGCACTTTACAGAGATTTTGTATTGCTGGGAAGGTGTATTTCTCCCACAGTTTGTTTGTGAATATTCTCTTGTTTTATAAATGTCTGACCTGTCTGAGTAAGACTGTGCTGTCGTCATTCTTGTGAGAGGTCTGGGAACCAGAGTTTTGGTAAGGCTGAGCCTGAATGAAGCTATTGGCCAGCCCATCTTGGTTCTGTGGGAGTCAGGAGCCTCCTGTTTCTCCTTAGGAAGGGAGCAACCATTGCAGACCAGGACAGCTTGGTCAAAAGTTGGGGGTCAATTGGCCAGAACAGTACAGAGCACTCTGGGCCCAGAGTGAGGGTTCTGAGTGCCATCCTGCAGTGCCATCCAGCCTTGCAGCCCACTTAAAACTCCAGGCTGTGGGTCAGTTAGTGCAGGGCCTGCTCCAGGTCCTCAATCCATCCTTTAATTCAATGCAACCACTTAAGCTGCAGGCGTGGTGAGGAGGGGATGCAGGCTCTCTGGCTGGGACTAGGTAGTGGAGATCTGCCCACAGCCAAGCCTAGGGCCTGGATTCTGGCTTTGTCTCCTGCCCCCCTGGCCAGAGAATGGCCCCTCTCTGTGCAGCGTGCCCAGCTTCCATGCTAGGGGATGCTAGCCTTGGACTGAGAGCTTTATGGGCTCATACCCCAACTTCCTGTGGGAAGGGGTTGAGCAAGGCCCAAGAATATCACAGTCTGGCCTGCACAGAGTGAGAAAGGAGGAAAGGGGAGGAACCTGCCTTGGGGACTTCTCTCATTCTTGGCTCTGCTCTGAAGCTCCTGCTGGCCTCCTCCCTACCAAGACCTGGGCCTGCCTTTCCCTCTTGCCCTTCTCCTGGCTCTCTCTTAATATGGCTTTGGATTGGCCTTTGGAGCTAAGATACCTTTACTCTTGAGCAAAAGATTCTGGAAGAGGGAGTGGTCCTGTGCATACACTGCTGCTGAGGATGTTCCCTAGCTGAGACAAGTCCACATTCTAAGAAACAATTAGTAGCCATGATGGCAAGACTGCTTTCCTGGGACGAAAAGCCAGGCACCATGGCAGCAGATGGCTAATGTGAGGGCCCAGGGAAAGGGGACTGAGCACAAAAAGCTAAGAAAGTAGTGGCCACCCCTCTGAGCCCCAAGGGCAGGGAAAAGAGAAGCAGCTACGACCTTTGGCTTTAGGTATTGGGATATTGAGTCTGGAGCTGGGGGGTTGCCTTCTGAAAAGAAGGTGACTCCTGCTCCTTGCTGGGTGCTACACTGAGGGAAAGGGGCCAGCATGACCCGTCAGCCTTCCAGATATGCAAATAGGACTCCACGAGTTGTGGCACAGTATGCAGGTTTTCTCTCCTGTCCTGCCATGTGGACAGGGTCTCTAGGGTTCTCTTGAGGGACCAGAGAAGCCACTGAGGTTTGCCCAGAGGTTCCATGACCCACCAAAGCTGGGGGCCTAGTCCATACTCTGAAATGACTCAATCAGGGAACAGAGGGCCTTGAAGGCCTGGAAGCCCAGGCTTAACACCCTCTCAGCGGAGAGACAATGAGGAAGAAACCATGGCCAAAGCCTAGCAGGGATGGAGGTGCTAGAGGGAACAGAAAGAACCAAAATGATCCCAGGAAGTCAACAGTGGGAGCAGAGGGAAAAGCCCCAAGTCTTAGAATGTGAGTCTGTGGGTGCAGAGGAAGGGTGCTCTGCAGGAAATGCAGTTGAGGCGCTAAGAAGGAGAATGCTGGGAAGGTCCTGGGTGAAGGAGGAGGCGCTGAGAGACTGAGAAGCCCAGAGGGCTCCATTCACCACGAGTAGCTGTTTGGGGCTGAAGAGAGGCTTGCATCAATCTTTAGAGAGGGCAGCCTCTAGGGAGAGTCTTTGGCAGGGTCCCCTCAAGGTAAAGGTACAGGACTGGGGTGAGGCCTGGATCCCAGTGCAGGAGGTGGAGTGTTTCCGGGTCTCAGTAGCAACACATTTGTGTTACGTTACATCCTCACAACCACGAGAGGGGCCGTTATTGTCCCATTTCACAGGTAAGACCACACCTTAGTCCTCTTTAGTCACTAATGCAAGACCCCAATGCCCAGTCACTTGTGGAGCCAGTGCATTCACACCACCTGACTCCAAACCTGTACACTCTAAGAATCCGCTGATAACCTCTCCTTTCTCTGCCTTCCTCCACGGCCCTCCTTTTCCGCCTGCCTTCTTGGTCTCTGCTGCGGGGGCCAAACCTGGACCTTGGGGTCCAGGGTCCTGCCATTAGTTATCTGACACCCGAGCGCTAAGCTCACCCGGAGGGACAAAGCCCACACCGGCCACTGGGGACCTTGAGGGGTAGAGGAGAGTCGGTGTCGGATTTAGGGCGGGGCTGAGCCAAGCCCAAGGCCGCCGGTCCGTGGCTTCAGCACCGCGGAGAGCGCCATCTCGGGGGGCGGGGCTGGCGGGACTGGGGCGGGGCAAGGGCGGGGCGCTCGAGACCCCGGCCGGGGCCCAGGGGCGCGCGCCGGGCTCTCTAGCCAGTCCCGCGAGCCGTGCGCGGCGCGGAGCCGCGCCCTGCCAGAGGCAGGTGCGCCCGCCCAGCCCGCCCAGCCCGAGCCTCGCGGCGGCGGCGGCTGCTGCCCCCTCGCCGCGCCTCCGCCTCCTTCGCCGCCGTCGCCTCCTCCGCGCTGCGCTCCGCCCGGATGGCCAGGGCTGTGCCCGAGAATGGCGGAGCGAGAAAGCGGCGGCCTGGGCGGGGGGGCTGCGTCCCCGCCCGCAGCCTCCCCGTTCCTGGGGCTGCACATCGCGTCGCCTCCCAATTTCAGGTGAGAGTCCCCGGCCGCCGCGCGCCTCGCCCTTCAGCGGGACTGATCCGCCTGGGCTGTCCCTACCCGCCCCCTATCCCAGAACCTCGGGAACCCGGGAACGAGAGGACGGCGTGGGGATGGGGTCTCTTCCCGGGACAGAGTCCCCCCAGAAGCCCCGCCGGCCTCATGCCCGGACTGGTAGTCGCTACATGTTCACGGGGCCGCTCCCTCCGCCATTCCTGGTCCTAGGCCGGGAGGTCTGCGCTGGAATTGGAGGAGGGGGCTCGGAGGCTGCCTTCTCCCCCACCTCCTGGCTGGGCTGCGGCAGGGTCTGGGATCGGGGTTGTGATCCCCGAGCGGGCAGGCGGGCTGCATCTTAGCCTTTGCCCAGTCTGAAGATTTCTGAATAGGGCTGGGAACAGCCTGGGGGCGGGGGACGCGGGTCGCAGTTTCCTGGGGGTAACGATGTTGTTGGTGCTGGGAGGAGGGCGTCTTGGGCCCCTCCCGACCCCTGCCTGCCCAGATGGGCCTACCTGTCATGTCCTCCATGGCCAGGCCCCTCTCTGGATTGGGCAGCACCAACCTGGGCAGGTGTGTCTCTCAGGGCAGGCGCTGAAGGCTCAGCTTCAACCTGGGAAATCCTAGGCCCGGCTGTGGGAAGGGAAGTTGGCCAGGGAGTAGCCAGGGCCAGCGGGGGTGTCAGGGGTCCCTGCTGGAGTAAATACCCAGAACCCTGACCTAAGCTCCCATTCCACCCCTCCCACCGCCCCCCACCAGTCTGATGTTAGGTCTGATGCATTTCAGAGAAGTGAAGGGTGAGTGTGTGGAGGAGGAATAGATATACCTCCCCCATAATTCTGACCCCTAGTTGGTGGGGAGGAAGAGGCAGATGTCACTGCTCCCGGCCTAGACAGGGAGGCTTAGACATACCCCATTGTTTCCCCATCTCAAGAGCTGGCGCCTTCCCCTCTCCTGGGGTCCCACCCCAGCCAGGCTCCAGCTGGGCTGTGGTGCCAGCCCATCCTGGGAGCAAGGGCTCACTGGCTCCCAGGTCCTCAGGTGGGCAGAGACCCCTGGGGATCTCTAATGGCATCATCAAACCCAGAAACCTCCCCCAGGGACCTGAGCTGAGCCGGGAGGACCAGAGGGGGCCAGATGGAGGCGCCAGGCCTGAAGGCTCCAGGGCTGCAGCTCTCTGATAATGCCTTCGACTCACAGGCCCAGGTCTGAGACTCCACCTGGCATGGCGCACGAGGCCTCCATGCAAACACTGCCTCCCCACCTGGAGGCCTCTCTGCAGTGGAAGCACATAGGGCTTACAAGGACCTGGGTTCAAATCCTGGCTGCACTATCCAACTGCATGACCCTGGCAGGTTTTTGTCCTCTCTGGGTGCCATCTGTTAAGTGGGCCAATTAATATTGATTCCTGCCTGGAAAGGAGAAAAAGCACAGCAGGTCAGTGTTCAACAAGTACCAGCCTTGACATTAGCAGACTGCTGTCCAGAGTGTCTTCCCAAGGCCACTCTCTTGACCCTCATAACCACCCCGAGAGAAGGTAATGGTCCGCCCATCTTATAGACGAGGTGATTGAGATTAACAAAGGCAGAGTGGCTTATCTAGGGACTCCAATATAGTAAGAGGCTGAGGCCACAGTGAGACCCAGGTCTGTGTATGTTCAGTCCACTCTGCCACCCCGCCCTGCCTCTGGCCTAGAGGGCAGCTTTTCCTCCCTGACCTGCTTCCCCAGGTGTCATGAATGCTTTAGTGAGAGGAGCTGAGGAAACAGACACCAGCCAGTGAGAGTGTGGCCAGCTCTCACCACATGGGACAAGGGTGGCAGTAGGCCAGGAGGTTGAGGCGTGGGTCGGCCCTCCAGGACATCGCGGCCTGGCTGCAGAGACAAGGCCAGCGTGTGAGAATAATACGGGTCAGTGTCTCAGGCCCTGCTGGCCTGCCCTGCTGTTCCTGCAGCCCCCGCTGCCCTTTCTCCTGGCCCGCCTCTCACTGTGCTTGGCCCAGCTCCACTTAACCCTGGGTGGGTGGGTAGTGCTTTCCTGTGGCTCTTTGGTGGTGTCATGGACCCAACTGGCCTTGGCTTGAATCCTGGCTGGGCCTTCTTAGCTGTGTGCCTTTACACTGGGCACTTAAGCTCTCTGAGCCCCCAAGATGCCAGCGCTGGCCCCTGCTCAGGATGGTCTTAGGAATCAGATGAATAACACATGTTGAGTGTTCCAAGGGCTGAGGAGAGCCACATGTAGGCAGGGCTATGTGTCTCTCTGTGTGTGTGTGTGTGTGTGTGTGTGTGTGTGTGTGTGTGTGTGTGCGCGTGTGCACACCT